TCACTTGTCAACGACACATGTCAACGACACTTGTCAACCACACATGTCAACCACACATGTCAACCACACATGTCAACCACACATGTCAACCACACATGTCAACGACACTTGTCAACCACACATGTCAACCACACATGTCAACCAGACTTGTCAACCACACATGTCAACCACACATGTCAACCACACATGTCAACGACACTTGTCAACCACACATGTCAACGACACTTGTCAACGACACATGTCAACCACACATGGCAACCAGACTTGTCAACCACACATGTCAACGACACTTGTCAACCACACATGTCAACCACACATGTCAACCAGACTTGTCAACCACACATGTCAACCACACATGTCAACCACACATGTCAACGACACTTGTCAACCACACATGTCAACGACACTTGTCAACCACACATGTCAACCAGACTTGTCAACCACACATGGCAACCAGAATTGTCAACCACACATGTTAACCAGACTTGTCAACCACACATGTCAACCAGACTTGTCAACCACACATGTCAACCACACATGTTAACCACACATGTCAACCACACATGGCAACCAGAATTGTCAACCACACATGTCAACGACACTTGTCAACCACACATGTCAACCACACATGTCAACCAGACTTGTCAACCACACATGTCAACGACACTTGTCAACCACACATGTCAACCACACATGGCAACCAGACTTGTCAACCACACATGTCAACGACACTTGTCAACCACACATGTCAACCACACATGTCAACCAGACTTGTCAACCACACATGTCAACGACACTTGTCAACCACACATGTCAACCACACATGGCAACCAGACTTGTCAACCACACATGTCAACGACACTTGTCAACCACACATGTCAACCACACATGTCAACCAGACTTGTCAACCACACATATCAACCACACATGTCAACCACACTTGTCAACCACACATGTCAACCACAGATGTCAACCAGACTTGTCAACCACACATGTCAACCAGACTTGTCAACCACACATGTCAACCAGACTTGTCAACCACACTTGTCAACCACACATGTCAACCAGACTTGTCAACCACACTTGTCAACCACACATGCCAACCACACATGTCAACGACACTTGTCGACCACACATGTCAACCACACATGGCAACCAGACTTGTCAACCACACATGTCAACGACACTTGTCAACCACACATGTCAACCACACATGTCAACCAGACTTGTCAACCACACATGTCAACGACACTTGTCAACCACACATGTCAACCACACATGGCAACCAGACTTGTCAACTACACATGTCAACGACACTTGTCAACCACACATGTCAACCACACATGTCAACCACACATGTCAACCACACTTGTCAACCACACATGTCAACCACAGATGTCAACCACACTTGTCAACCACACATGTCAACCAGACTTGTCAACCGCACTTGTCAACCACACATGTCAACCACACATGTCAACCAGACTTGTCAACCACACATGTCAACCAGACTTGTCAACCACACTTGTCAACCACACATGTCAACCATACTTGTCAACCACACTTGTCAACCACACATGCCAACCACACTTAGATGTTTATTGTAACATTATACTACGTGATTTATGTACTTCCGTTAAAAAGATAATTTTGTTCTTTATTATATGTTCTTATTATGTCTTATAGGAAAAAATTGTGTAGGATAAAAATTGTCACAGCTAAGGAGACAGAAAATAATTAAGATCAACCTTGTCTTATCATAACCTGCACTAGACGTCCGGGGCGCTGACATTAGGAAAACATAGGGCTGTGCCGCTCAAAGGACCTACACCTTGTTTAAGTGCGTTTTAATAATGACTGACAAATAAAAATAATGTTATAAAATAATATGATATGTGTCAACAACAACTCAAACAGGTAAATTGTATACATGGTTAGAGGAGCTAGGTTTGCCTCCTGATGAGTTTTGGGGGGATCAGGGGGGGCGGAGGTAGGGGAGCACTTAAAACATCCCCCCCCCCCCGCTCTAATTTTTTCCAGCTGACTAAACCACCAATAGGTTCCGTGACCTCTACCTGACATTAGGGTGTAATGTAAACAAGAGGCAGAAACATTATTCGCAAGTTTATGTTCAGTAACACAACAGCCAGGGGCTTTTGGGGTTGGTTCCGCAATGTCATGTGAAGAATACGCAACTAACCTATGTTCAGTAACAGGAGAAATCAATGATTTCAATTATAGCCCTTTAACGTTTCGTTTTTGGACCCTTCTCAGTTGCAAAAGAGGTAATTATTACTGGTGTGTGTGTGTGTGTGTATATATATATATATATATATATATATATATATATATATATATATATATATATATATATATATATATATATATATATATATATATATTAGGGCTGTACCGAATAGTGATTTTCACTATTCGGCCGAATACGAATAGCTAAACCAACTATTCGGCCGAATACGAATAGTGAATTATCATCATCAGGTGCTTTGCCGACTGGCATGGGCGATTATGGCTCGCCACAATCACGATCTCCTGCAGCATGCATTAGTTCGTGTGCCGACACACCTCCATGCCATGCAACAAGACTGTCAAGAATCTTCTCTCGTTGTCTTCCTCTATCCCTCCTTCCACAGATCTTTCCAGTGGTCACAACATGTTCCATTTTCCCTCTTCTCATAACATGACCGAAAAATGATGACTGTATCCTTCTGATGTCTGGGAGTAGTTGTCTTCGGGCTCCCGAATCTTTCAAAACCTCTTGGTTGCTTATTTGACGACTGTCCAGGGTATTTTTAGCATTGTTCTGTAAAACCACATCTCTGGGGCCTCAAGAAATTGTTTGGCCTGCCTACCGATTGTCCAGGACTTACAGCCATATGTTAAAACTGGATGTATGTGGCAAGCAAGAATTATTTTTCTAAACTTCAATGACAAAGATATAGTGCATAAGATGTTCTTCATTTTATAAAATGCAGTTTTTGCCTGTCCTGTTCTGTTTCTTATTTCAGTAATGCATCTTCCATCTGATGTTATCCATGTGCCCATATATTTAAGTTTCTGTACTTGTCTCCCCCCCCCCTCTCTCCCCCCCCCCCCCCCCCCCCCCCAAAAAAAAAGAAATTTGACTTTTATAGCACATTTAGGAATAATAATTTTTTTTTTTGTTATAATACCACCATCTTCCCACTATTGAAACTGAGGCCCATTCTTTCACTTTCGAATAGTGTATAAAATTGATTATAAAAAATAAAATAAAAACATCCATAATGTCAAATCTACGCTGGCATTTTACTTCACAAAATGTAGTACAGAATAGTAAACATTTAAAAACATTTCATGTTTTGCATCCTTCAGTCAGTCAGTCTGTGGTAACTAATACCTAGGAATGAAAGTATTCTTAGTTTTATAACAAGTAACTAAACTTGTAAATTGTCACTGACAGCTTAATTAATCTATGAAAGCGGCATTAGCTTTCAAATAATAATAATTTAAAAAAAAAAAAAAAAAATTTGTTCCATGTTGTCAGCATTAAGGCAGCTTCTGGTCTCACTAAAGGCATTTCCAGCTGTACTAAACAGACGTTCACTTGGCACGCTCGTAGGTGGTGCACAAATATAACGCTTGATAGTATGAATAAAGGTGGGATATATTGACATGTTTATTTTCCACCAGTCCAGAAACGGGTGTAAGGTAACCACTATTCGTATTCGGCCCGACCGCAACTATTCGGCCGAATACCGAACAGTTATTAGGTCCACTATTCGGCCCCGAAGCGAATATTCGGTACAGCCCTAATTAATATATATATATGTTTGTGTGTGTGTGTGTGCATGTGTGTGTGTGTGTGTACTCTATGGCAAATTACAGATAGATAGAAGATGTCGAGACCGATATAACGATGTGCGCAAGCGGGATATGAATAATACAGATACTGAGATGGACTCGTGGGAACAAAATGCCACGGGCGGTGTTGCGTGGATGCGGGAAAACAGAAAGTTAATGTGACTAAATGATAATTATTACAGTTGTGTATAGGAGATGGAGAAATACATAAAATGCACGTTGTGCCTGTGTACACAAAGATGAGATTGTCTACGCTTGCAGATAAGGCCACTGTGGGGGATGGGGGTAGGGAAAAAAAAAAGGGGGGGGGGGTGCACGCCAGGCTGATGTTAACGAATTACCAGAAGAAAGACGTTGGCGAGAACCAAGTAATCACTGTGAATCTGCAACGATCTTTCTTACAGTATGTCACCCAGCTTCTGAGTTGAGTGCATGGTGTGACACTGTGAGCTACGAGTATTTTTCGTTGGCACAGGAGCGGAGCAACAATGGGGTGACCCGTTTGCTATGATGCTGAAACTAGGATTACCAGATTCTTACAGTATGATTGGGGGAAAATGTCTATATTTGTAAAGTGTATTTATAGTTGAAAAGTTTCCTTCTACTTCCTTTTTCTCCCTTAATTGCAAAGTCTTGAATCAGATATTTAAACGAATCTCGTGTGACACATCTGCTTCTAACAGAGAAGCGACATCCAGCCTGCCTTGTGGCTTTGTAGCTTTTCGCGAGATTTTTTCAATGTACTTCAAAAAAAATGAACAACCAATTCCAAGGCTGTTGAAAATGTATGTGTTGGCCCCTTTCCTTTGTGATGAATGTGTTTACTGTCCTTATAGTTAATCCGGCCCTGGGCTCAACACATCCGATTTTAGAAAATCCGAAATTTGTCGTTTCTACAACACGCGTGTTAAAGGGTCGTTGGGTGCATTCCTTCCAAGAATGATTGGGGGGCATGATTGGGGGGGGGGGCATGATTGAAAAAAAAGGGGGGGGGGGGTTGAGCCTAAACACACATAGGAATCCCCAAGTCTAAATCACATAGCACAACCATTATTGGACCTCGTCCTCTGCAGACGGCCCTTACTCTAAACCAGGCATTTAATAAAGAAGAAACAGATTAAATGTATTTGAACATTTACCTTCAACACCGTAGGGCTCATGAACTTGACCGCTAACTCATCCTTGCCTTGCGTCAGTCGACGAGCTTGAATCAGACACCTCAACTCGTATTTCAGCAATGGTGTCGGCCGTTTACTAGCACAAGCTTGTGTAAATGCTTCCATCAACAGAGCCATTTCTTTATCGGGCAGAAAGTTCACATCTTTCGGGCACTTGACACCACAAACCTGGACTTTGTGATCCGTATTTTGAGTTGCATCATTACTATCTACTTCTTGAGCCACAAAGTCTCTCTCAGTTTCTTTACTACTTACATTATCTGGGCCACAACGGAGGCTCATACTTTCTCTAGGTAACGTTTTTAATTCTTGTTTATACATAAAATTATCTATTATGCAAGTTAGTTTTCGCCGATGTACCACAATATAGTGCTTCCACTTTAAGTAGTGCACATCAGTGGGGAACTACAGATCCACATCCAACGGTGTCTGGCGCCAAGTGAAAGTCTGAACCAATCAAACTGCTGGGAATAATGTCAGCGCGTGTATCGCTCGTAGTAAGTTTGTAGTAAACTATAGGGGAATCCCTATGATGTCAGCACGGACTGTTTCTATTTTCTGCCAGGACAACAAAACGCCGCCCAGACTTGTACCAACCGTGGAAGTTTGTAGCCAATGAGGAGATTCGATTCATGAGATAAATGCATATAATCAGAGATAATGGTACGTCCTACATCTTTCTCTGCTTGGCCAGATCAGAAACGCTTCGCAGCGATTTTCAAACTTGTGGCGCTGACCCATCTGTTGAATACAAAGTGTCTCGCTCCAAAGGCAACTTATTACTGGTGCTTCCTTCGAAGTCGGAGTGCACCTGCCTGAGAGTAATGGAACCAACAGAGTACATAGAAATAAATCAGATCTGCAACATGCATGTGCATGCAAAACTCCAGTTCTGAAACAAGACTAAGGTCCAGAAGTGGACGAACAACCAAAACTTCCCGCCAGAGTTTACAGCCGGTTAATGGGAAGAAGAAGAAGAAGAAGAAGAAGAAGAAGAAGAAGAAGAAGAAGAAGAAGAAGAAGAAGAAGAAGAAGAAGAAGAAGAAGAAGAAGAAGAAGAAGAAGAAGAAGAAGAAGAAGAAGAAAAAGAAGAAGAAGAAGAAGAAGAAGAAGAAGAAGAAGAAGAAGAAGAAGAAGAAGAAGAAGAAGAAGAAGAAGAAGAAAAAGAAGTAGAAGAAGAAGAAGATCAAGAGGAGGAACAAGAAGAAGAACGACTACTATTATAGAGGGGTAATCTGTTGGTGAACGACGGGAGAAGTGGACTAGGGAAGGAGAAAAAGATAGAGAAGGAGAAATGGAAAGAAAGGACAAAGAGGAATAAAGAGGCGAGAGAATAAGTGGGGGAGGTGCGAGGGTCAAAAGAGCGGGAGACACACACGCACACACAGACATGCACACAGTAGTAGTCAGAGACAAAACAGGAAGGAGGAAAGTTATTGGAGGAAAATGATAGAGGGGAGAGGAGAGGAGCAGAGAGACCAGTGGGAGGATATGAAGTGCCGTAATGGGATGGGGTGAAGATGGGGAGAGAAATTGAGTGAGAGAGCTAGCGACAGTAAGACAAACATACACACAGAGGCTCACAAAAATGAGTGTGAGAGAGAAAGAGAGGGGGAAGAGAAAGAAAGAGAGAGAGAGAGAGAGAGAGAGAGAGAGAGAGAGAGAGAGAGAGAGAGAGAGAGAGAGAGAGAGAGAGAGAGAGAGACAAAACGTTCAGCGAGAGAGCTGGAAACAGTCTGCACTCAACAACCTAGCACCCGCAAGCAACAGAAAGATGACACACACATCAAAGAAACATACATGTGCTATTTATTAGATTATCAAGTCATACACTCACATCGGAAACACCATGACGGCCATAACATAGACCATAAAATATAAAATGCAATATTCCATAATTTGTTTAAAGTCACTCTAGGAAGAAAACTTATTAGAAGGATCTCACACAACCAAAGTCACAAGATGGACACTCTACCTCATCGTTTGTTTGTTTATTTTAGTATCCACAAGCCATGAGTTGTTAACCCTTAGGCTCAGTATTATGGATATCGCAACCTTTCGGCCTTGATTCCATTTTAAGTACCGTAAATCTGGGAGAAATGTGGCTTTTCTGCCCACCCCCGGGAGTGAACCCGGACCACAAGGAGTTCGTCACCCTCTTACCGCGCAATCCCGTTTAGCCAACTACGCTAGAGAGACGGGCACTCTACGTCAACAACTATTCACTTTAACAAGACAACCTTTCATCACAGCATAAATTTGATCTGGGAAATCTGCAAATGGCACAATAAATCTTCGTCCTTTCAGAATCGTATGCCCCTCTATCAGAATCGTATGCCCCCCTATCGGAATCGTATGCCCCTCTATGGGAATCGTATGCCCCTCTATCAGAATCGTACGCCACTCTATCAGAATCGTATGCCACTCTATGGGAATCTTACGCCACTCTATCAGAATCATACGCCACTCTATGGGAATCGTACGCCACTCTATCAGAATCGTACGCCACTCTATGGGAATCTTACGCCACTCTATCAGAATCGTATGCCCCTCTATCAGAATCGTATGCCCCTCTATGGGAATCATACGCCCCTCTATCAGAATCGTATGCCCCTATATGGGAATCATACGCCCCTCTATCAGAATCGTACGCCACTTCATCAGAATCGTACGCCACTTCATCAGAATCGTACGCCACTCTATCAGAATCGTATGCCACTCTATGGGAATCATACGCCCCTCTATCAGAATCGTACGCCACTTCATCAGAATCGTACGCCACTCTATCAGAATCGTATGCCACTCTATGGGAATCTTACGCCACTCTATCAGAATCGTACGCCACTCTATGGGAATCTTACGCCACTCTATCAGAATCGTACGCCACTCTATCAGAATCGTATGCCACTCTATGGGAATCTTACGCCACTCTATCAGAATCGTATGCCCCTCTATCAGAATTGTACGCCACTCTATGGGAATCATACGCCACTCTATCAGAATCGCAAGCCACTCCACAATTGTATGCTACTCTATCAGAATAGTACGCCACTCTCAGAATCATATGCCATTCTCACAGAATCGCCAGCCACAAATCTCCACACTACCAGAATCCTTGTTCACTTTTTCTGCATCTGACGTCAGAAATCTACACTCAAACTTTCTCCACGACGTCAACACTGTGCTTCTTCTTTGTTCATCTAAGGATCTAATTGTGTTGTGCGCATTTACAGCTTGGCTGCGACAATTTGCACCTTTTGGCCGACACATCCGACTTTTTCTCGCATCTGCTACCCGGGTTTTCCCTCCCGTGCACTGACACTTTTGTGTATCTTTGAATAACATTGCACACGTTCTTCTCCCAACTCTTCTTGTCTCTTTTTATACCCAGTGTAAGTAAAAAGGGAAGTCAAGGACCCTTTTCCCCGCCTTTGGGAGTTCTGGGCATGTAGGGCTGCTAGTTCATTTTATAAACCACCTGGCACTCGCTGGGGTCAGCATCAGGCAGGCCGCCTTCACTTCCCAGGACTTTGCCTGTTATCCAATCAAGGCTTGGTTGACCTTTCGAGACAAAAACAAAAAACAAAGTCAAGCTTCATCAAGACTTGAACACACAACATTCCGACTCGCAGGCAAGGTTCCAGCTTCCTAACTCACACGGACATTAGCTAGGGACTTGTGGGACCAAAAGTGTTAATTATAACTGTGTACTTAAACAAGCTCCCCCCCCCCCCCTTAAAATTCTACAGCAATGACTTCCTCATGCTGTCGCCTCGAACTCAAGCAGAGACACGCCCCACAAGAACGTGCAAGCAAATCCCCACCTGGTCTGGGACCTCAAGTTGCCATGTAACCGCCAGGGGCGCCAATGGCATTGTCTCATATGGATGAACAGTTTCCAGGATTTGTACATGTGGGATTCTCATCCTTGAGGTATCAATCCTGAAGGGTCAAACAACTACCTACCACAACAATCCACACTCGTTATCTGACACAACACACGCATTGTCAGCACCAACACACGACCTTAATAATCTTCCACAAGACACAGTAGATGTCTTCTTCAGCAAAATAAACCACACACAACATAGTATCAAATAACAATCATGAATGAAAAGACAAATGTCAGGTATGACTGATGACTCAATATCAAGACACCCGTCTTGTGTGCGTTTTTCTCCCTTTCATTTGTCTTGAAGATTTCCTTTTCTAAAGTGTTGGAGCAATGAGGTAAATGTGTGCGTTACCTGGACGCGCTCAATGGCACACAGGTGGGCAGTCTAACATGAAACAAATGAAGTGAAAACATAGAAGGCATCCACAGACTAAGGTCTGGATACAAGACAACCGGACAATACGACTACACGGCTTGGGCGTATCTAGGCTGTACCCAACCACAGACTAAGGTCTGGATACAAGACAACCGGACAATACGACTACACGGCTTGGGCGTATCTAGGCTGTACCCAATCAAAGTTTTGCCGACAGCCACGTCACAGAACAAATATATTGCACCAGAAAGGGACCAAACTCAGGAGACAATACCACACACAGTCACACAAGCTTCTGGCAAGTATCAAACATACTGACCAATGGTCAGTGTCAACACCAGCCAAGTCTCGTATCCAACTGTCAGCCAAGTCTCGTATCCAACTGTCAGCCAAGTCTCGTATCCAACTGTCAGCCAAGTCTCGTATCCAACTGTCAGCCAAGTCTCGTATCCAACTGTCAGCCAAGTCTCGTATCCAACTGTCAGCCAAGTCTCGTATCCAACTGTCAGCCAAGTCTCGTATCCAACTGTCAGCCAAGTCTCGTATCCAACTGTCAGCCAAGTCTCGTATCCAACTGTCAGCCAAGTCTCGTATCCAACTGTCAGCCAAGTCTCGTATCCAACTGTCAGCCAAGTCTCGTATCCAACTGTCAGCCAAGTCTCGTATCCAACTGTCAGCCAAGTCTCGTATCCAACTGTCAGCCAAGTCTCGTATCCAACTGTCAGCCAAGTCTCGTATCCAACTGTCAGCCAAGTCTCGTATCCAACTGTCAGCCAAGTCTCGTATCCAACTGTCAGCCAAGTCTCGTATCCAACTGTCAGCCAAGTCTCGTATCCAACTGTCAGCCAAGTCTCGTATCCAACTGTCAGCCAAGTCTCGTATCCAACTGTCAGCCAAGTCTCGTATCCAACTGTCAGCCAAGTCTCGTATCCAACTGTCAGCCAAGTCTCGTATCCAACTGTCAGCCAAGTCTCGTATCCAACTGTCAGCCAAGTCTCGTATCCAACTGTC